GAAGTTGGAAAAGAATACTGTCGGTTTGGGGGCACTGGGTGGCTCAGTCATTAAGCATCTGCCTTCGGTTCAGATCATGATCCCAGGGTCCTAGGACTGACTCCCACATCGTGCTCATTGTCCTGGGATAGAGGCCTGCGTTGGGCTCCCTGCTCCACAGGAAGCCTGCTTCTCCCTCTCCCACCCCCCGGCTTGTGTTCCCTCTCTCGCCGTGTCTCTGTCAAATAAATAAATAACATCTTTAAAAAAAAAAAAAAGAATACTGTCAGTTTGAACAAAAAGTATTTCAGTTTAGGTGTTCATTCAGACCAGTAAATGTGGGGAAAAAGGAGAGTCAGGGATAGGATGAAAGAGAAAACGATTCTCTTCATTCTCAAAAAACTCAGCTGTAGGCCACATGATTTGAAAAAGTGGCAGTATAAGACCAGTGAATGGGGACACCTTAGCTTCTATATGATCCCCAAATTTAGCTGGCCTTTCCATCCCCAAGGAAGGGAGAGTATGGAGAGGGTGGAGTAGGGAGGGAAGTAAGGAATATCTTATGGACCATCCCTGTACTTATCCCCCATTCAGTCTTCAGGAACCCTCCATTCCCATTAATACAATAAATTTTAATCTTTTTTTTTTTTTTTATAAAATACTGTCAGTAAAAGCTAGATTTGCAGGGAAATTTAGTCATGAGGAAAATTAGAATTAAAACACACATAAACAAGTTCTCTAAAACCTGCCATCAATCGAGGTCATGATTACAAGATTAAGTAACAGATCTTTTGCCTGACCCAGGTCCCCAAAGGCTGAAGGCTGAAAATAATTAAGAATTCTGATACCATCACACTTCAGAAATCCAGTTCTCAGTTCAAAAATAAAATCAGAATTCTTATTGTTACCCATATTCCTTTCTATAAAAAAATTACATCACTAGACAACCCTATGTTATGTTTGGTTTCTTTTTACTTTTCAATATTTTTAATAAAGTAAAAAAAAAAAAGATTTTTTCCTCTGAGTTAAACTGTTCTTTATCTTATCCTGTACTGGAAACATAGGCTTTCTTATCTTCTTTTATTAAAAAACTACCTCTTGGGCCAAGATCATTTTGCTCTTTTGAGAACTCAGCCTACTTTCCTTTTTTAAAAATGATTTCACTGCCATTTTGTCCCTTAGGAGTCTTCTCCCAAACTGGTTTTACCAGTATCCCAACCTCAATTTTGCTGACTCTAAAAGTAAACACAGGCTCATTTCGTTGTTGCTATTACTGTAAATTAAGAGGATAGTGAAAATAATACACATGAAAAACTCTAAATTAATTAGTCTTGGTACCCAGCTTAGTTTCTGAATTCTCTTGATGGAAGAGTTAATGGAAATATGAAGATGAGTGGTAGCTTTCATCCAAACTCCCTACTTCCAGATAGGCCAGCAGATCTAAACCTAGACATAAGCTCAAGACCTGCCACTTAGGAATTCCAGTTAGGGAGGCATCCATTTCACTAGAACCTTGTCCCAAAAAGTTCTCACTGGGGCTTAGCCTCACACATTGCAATGAAGAAATTTTCTAACTTTTTAAAAAAGTTAGTATTACAAAAGTTTTATAATATTTTATAATACTATATAATACTAAAATAGTATTACTAAATAGTATTACTGTTTAGTCTTACAGAAGAGATTTGAGGAACTTTGTAAGAACACAAGGAAAAACATTAAGATCAGAATCTAGAAAAAATATAGATCAAGAATAAGAATATAGACATGGCAGGCGATTAAGTCCTACATAATTATTAAAAGTAAGCCTAATTTTATTATTTTTTTTTAATTTTTTTTAAGATTTTATTTATTTGACAGAGAGAGACACAGCCAAGAGAGGGAACAAAAGCGGGGGCAGAGAGAGAGAGGGAGAAGCTGGCTTCCCGCCGAGCAGGGAGCACGATGTGGGACTCAGTCCTAGGACCCTGGGATCATGACCTGAGCCGAAGGCAGACGCTTAACGACTGAGCCACCCAGGCGCCCCAAAAGTAAGCCTAATTTTAATCTGAGATTTCTCTCAGAAACAGAGGGCAATCAATATATTATCTGCATCGTCTGTAAGAAAAAGGCAAATTTTCTCATGTGAATTAAAGCTTTTCCTGAAATAGGTCTGAATAAAATTTCTCATTGGATTCTGGGTAATGTTTCTTCATTATCTTCACAAAAAGGAATAGCAGACCTCATTCAGCTGATTATTGATTTTTAAAAATTAGTATAGAAAAAAATCTCACGTGGCTTAAAGTCTTAAACTTTGAAAATTCAAGCAGCAGTAATGAAATGAGAGCTAGTAAAACTACTACTGACACCGAACATTATCAGCTGCAACTATCAAGATGAGATCCTAACATTTTCAGTGTGGACTTGCAGGGGATACTTAGTCCAAGCTGAGTTTCCTAGAAAAAAAGGGGGTGGGGGTTTGACACACACTCCCTCTGCTACTTCTGTTATCTTACACGTTTTTATTGTTGCAGTGAGATGGCATTGTAATTACTTATTTACAGGTCTCTCCTAGTAACTTATGAGCTCCAATCCCTAGCTCAGTGTCAAGCACACAAAATATACTCAATAAATGTTCACAGAATTGAGTACTGATATAAAGACAATCTAGATCAGGAAAATACTGAAAGTGTAACAATAGTAAAATAGCTACTACTGTCTACAACTCCTACTGAAGAAAACACACAGAAAACAGACACACACACAATGATTCAGAACATGAAACATATCCCAGAGCACTGAAACTTCTCAAGAGTTCTACTTGATTTTTCCATAGAAGTACCTAGTCTTATTATGGCATTTCATATACTCCAGAACTGGCCCATTCCATAAAGACAGGAATATCTACACTGGCTAAATACAAAAGCCACATTAAAAACACTTAAATTATCTAGGAGAGCGGGGATCTGCATTCAGGAAAGTAGTGTTCGTATAATTCGAGGTAAAACTTCTCTATGACAGCTTCTTAAAATGAACTGGTTTTGAAGAAAATTGTTCTTTAGTTATTATACATACTGCTGCCCTAGTAAACACAGCCAAAACTTTGACGACAGAGTTATTAGGAGAGGATGTATCACAGCACGATTTTTAAACCTTCTCAGAGACATACTACAATTTGTTCTCTGCCTTTCTAGTGATTCTTCTCTACGATCATCCAGATTGTGTTCCAATGCCCCATTTTCTAATTTCTGCTTTGTTTTTTCTCCTACCCCATCCCTCATTTTTTTCCCCATTCCTAGCCTTCCTTGCCTTTGATATTATTGGGGCTTATTTTCTATCACCCTCATTAGCCAGTGAGGGCATTCTTTTCCTTCTGCTTTCACAAAATGATCAGTCAAATCCTGTATTCGGTAACCTTCAGTGTCTCTTGATTCTGATCACCGACTTTTCTACACTTCAATTTTTCTATGTTCATCTTCCACACAACTGAAGGTGCCTGTGGTTGAAGGGCGGGGGGGTGGGGGGGTGGGCAGTGCCAATAAGTCAAAATATTATTTTATGCTTATCCTTTTCCTTATATACTCCCTTTTCTGTTTTTACTTAATGTTCGTAGTATAGAAATTCCTATCGATGGTCCAGTTCCAGAAGAGGTAATGTGCAGATCAAGAAAATAAGTAAAATAAGGCCTCAGTGGAAACTAAAACTTCTAGACCATTTAGCATTAATGCATAAACATGCAGAAACTACATTCTTTTTAGGCAATAAGGATTTTGTTTAAAAGAAAGGTAATATCAACTTAGAAAAGCTGAGATTCTCTTCCTTTTTTAAGTGTTTTCACTTTGTCTACTATCACTATAATTTTAGGAAAGCATTTAACAAAAATAAAACCTTTAAGTCAACTATTTCTACTGTGTAATACAAAAGGTTTTAAGAATATGTATTCTGGTATGCCTCAAATTATATCTTTGCTCTTAATTGTATCAAAATAAGGTAATAAACTCTGAAAAACATTCAAATTCTTCTTGTATGAAATTTGGTTAAAAGAACCCACTGCTAAAACCACAGTGTGAACTGATGAAACAGAACTACAAATGTACCCTAAGCCCAGGCTCTGAATCTTTTTGCAGATTTTAACATTAGGTGTATTTATGCAATTTGGGTCTGTTTCCTGGTTTGGAAGTGTATTTGAGGTAGGGTGAAATGAAAGCAAGTGAATTATGATTAATGACAGGAAAACAAAATTTCAAACCAGCCGACTCAGTTCATTTGTCCTGTCTCATAGTGCATACCATTAGGTTCTTTAATTACAGAAAGCTGGCTGGTCTGGGATCAGAGCAAACATCTGATGTAGAAAATTCAGTGTATCCTACAGAACACAATTTGTTTTGGTCATCCGAGAGGGTGTGGAAACGATTTTTGTTACAAAGAATATTTTCGTAATGGGATTTTACCTATAAAGATAGTAAAGGCTCACTTACGGAGCAGCCAGTGTGTGCTGTGTAATTGTTAAGAATTTTATGTGGATTGACATTTAATCCTCCCAACAACCCGATCAGTTAGATTTGATTACCATTATCCCTGTTTAATAGATGGGACGTGACCCTGAGTAATTTACTCAAGTTCACTTAGGTTCTATAACAGGGATTCAAAACACACCAGTTAGCACTCTAAATTTCTACTCTATACTATCTCCCCCCCATATAACAAGATGACTATGCTCCATTCAGGTAAAATCCCATCTCTGTCAGATTTTTCTTTCCCACAGTCCATTTAAAATACATCCTGAAAGAATTTGATCATCATCCAAAGACCTAGTGCCTCCAAAACATAGTTTTGACTTAAAAATCAGAAGATTTTCCCTATTACAATTATTACTTGAATTTTTACTATGTCTAAAATTTAAAACATCAAAACATGTGAAAAACAATGAAATATGGCAAAATTTTTTCATGTTTTAAAAGAACATAACCAGTTAGCTGGGGTTCCACTGAAAGTATCTTATAATAAAAACAAACTTTAATTTTTCATTTAACAACACTAAAGAATGAGGTATATAAATGTTTTAATCACAGACTTTTACTGTATGCAATTAACTGTATTTCACAACTAGCATCTTACAAAAAAGACAGTCCCATTGTGCCTGGAAAAAGTACTGCAATTAAACAGAAAATTACATTACCACGAGAAACCACCAAATATCACAACTGTCAGGGTGTACAGTTTTGTTTTGTTTTTTTCTGTTTTTCAAATGCTATCATAGTGTTTTTAAGTGATATTTTGCATCCAAGTTATGTTTTTAATTTATATTTCAGAAGTCTCCTAGAGGTGGATATATATTAAGCAAATGACTAAAAGCAGCAGGAGACCCTAGAAAAATTTAAGAAGTACTTATGTGTGGTTTCTAGGTTGGATTTTTAAATACAATATGAAACACATTATTAGTTGTGAACAAAAATGCAAAATCTGTAGTCATAAAAATATTTTATTGGTAATTTTACATAATAAGTGGGGCTGTAAATACTTTTTTTTATTTCAGGATATTGATAAATGCATAAACTGGCAGTTGTGTCTGAAAATAGGGCACTATGATTTTCATAAGAATCATTATATTTAATAAGAAGCCAATTAAACTGATTTAAGATTAGTTATTTCCCAGTTCTGTGCAACAGTTCCCATTTCTGTATTAATTAGATTCATATTTCTATGACCCTGCACAAGTTTGGGGCAAGACAACAGTGATAAACTATTATTAAGTTAAAGCTTTTCCAAAATTGCAGCCTTTAAAATATGTCAGGTTTCTTTTCTGTTTTTGCCAAATGCTTATAATTATTTGAACTTCAAAGTTTTATATTATACAGAAAATACCAGTGTTCAATGACAAGAGCACTAAACCTGAATTATAAAGCTAAATAATCAATGTTTTATTGTTTACTACTCTGCTAGTAAACATTACAATAATGAATGTTTTAAAAGATAAACAAAAACAAAAACAAAGATAAAACCAGAAACATAATTCAGGAACAATAATTTAGTAAAATGTGTCAAAAACATTGGCAACGGTTCATACAAATTCTTTATTTAATAACAATTTTTCCTATTTAACCACACCAAGTACCAGCAGGTGTATTTAGGAGGATAACCATTAAGAAAATCCTGTTGCAGCAATAGTTGATTAAATTGATCTTTGACTTGTATACATATAACTATTTGTTTCACAATTCTCAAATAATACATTTAGGCAGCTTGCACTATGTTATAAAAATTTAAATTCGTTACATGCCAATAGTAGAGAATTCAAGAATTATGTGTTAGAATTCACTAAACTAAAAGTGAAAATAGACTTACCAATAACACTGCATAATGAATAATTCAACCACATTTTCATGGCACCTTGAACTGTGGAGACCAAAATGTCAAGTCTGAAAATGTTTGGTAGGCATAGATTGCAATAAAGTCTAACAAATTCTAACAAATTTCTATTTTGTGTAAAACGCAAATTATGGATTGTGCATGAATGTCTGTCATGAAAATGTGGTACTTCTTGGCATAATCTGTGTATTTGCATGTTATGACAGAAGTGACTAAGAAATTGGAGAAAATAAATTTTAATGAGATTCTCCATTCAATGATGAGGCTTCTCCTCTGGGTGAAGATGATCTGGACATTCCCCTCTCTGTGTTATCAGAGCTAGAGCCACTCTGACTGTGTTGATCTGCAGAAGCAGCACTAGATGCAGGCGGTGACTTTGTTTTCTCCTTAAAGTCTGTAATAATGACTGTCAGATCTCCAACGGTAACTTCCAAATGCTGAGCACTACTCCGATCCACATTTTTCAATCTTGGCCTAAATAGAAAAGATGATAAAATTTTAAACTAGCTTTTCTCTCTACGAACTTTCTGAACATATAATGAATAAATTAGGTAAAAATAACAAAATGAATACATCTATATTTAAAGTTCTAGATTCATATATGAACTAGCCACAAAAATATAATTAAATGTTTCAAATCATTAACATTAATCGAACCAATCACTGATTAATCTTCTTCAACATGACAAACTGATACTCTGGAAGCAATGGTCTCTTAATTGTGCTTTTATAGCTTTATCATAATTTTGCAGATAGCTTACCAATTTTACTAAAATAAATGTTTTAGAAAAGCAATGACATAGTTGGATCACAGAATAAGTTGATAACCATTAAGGTTGAGTTATATGAAAGGCTGTTACTCCAGAAATGGGCATCATGACTATCTGTTCTGCCTGTACCCATGAAGATTTTAACTGGTTAAAGCCCATGCAAATATCTGTTCAGTATTGTGACTATCACTCCTGGCTTTATGACCGAAAAAGAATCAGCTCAAACACAAATGTCTTTGAGTCTAGTAGGGAAGGAAGGGAAGGGAGAAAGGAAAGAAGGGAAGGGAAGAAAGGAAGGGAGGAAGGGAGGAAGGAAGGAAGAGAAAGAAAAGAAAGCATCCTTACATTTAAGCTTATATTGGTGGCCTCTGTATTTAATTTCTAATATACCTCTCAAACTCAGAAAAACACTTTCATGATATTTTATAATAAAGATGGAATCTTTTATTTCCACTTTGTATATGAATATATCAATGTTAAAAGAGAATATTAAATGGTTCATTTTATTATTTAATAAGTGCCATAAAATACTCTTCAAATTTACCTGGTTTTCTGGGTGGGAGGATGGGTTAGCCTGGTGATGGGTATTAGGGAGGGCACATTCTTCATGGAGCACTGGATGTTATGCACAAACAATGAATCATGGAACACTACATCTAAAACTAATGATGTAATGTATGGTGATTAACATAACAATAAAAAATTTTAAAAAAACAAAACAAAAAAACAAATTTACCTGGTTTTCTTATGACTGTTCTTTTTGCTAGTTGTTTCCTTTTCACTTTTTTCTTTTTCTACTTTATCTTTTTTCTCTTTCTTTGACTGTGTAGGGGGCACAAACTGCTGAGTAACCTGCTGGGCAACCAACTGGGACACAGGTCGAGGTTTCCTGTATGCATGTTAAAAAGAAAAGTTTTTTTATTATAACTTAAGAATATATATTCCTTATGAGAATAGCTCAAATTATAAGAATAAGTATATGACATGATTTTCAAGTATAAAAATTCCTCATGTGAGATAATTTAATGTGCAATTTAACAGATTTTACACACATGCACACACACATACACACACAAATTGTTGTCTTTCCTATCCAACAAAAACAGAGCTATAATAACAGTAGAAGTTATAGCCCAAAATATATGGTCAACCATTAGAATATAACCATTACATGAATCAACGTGAAAATTATTAAAAAAGTATATCAAACTGAATGCTCACAGGGAAGCACACATATAAATATGAGACCTAAGAATTAAACCTGAAAATTTATACTGAAATAATGTTTAAATTTACCCTTCTCCCTCACAGAAGGAAGTATCTAACCATCTGTGACAATGGCTATTTGTTCTTTCCTCTAAAATCTTTCATTTATTCGTTTAATAAATATTTGAGTGTCAAAATTTCTCACTCTTTATTGCTAAAATCCTTAAGGTTCCTTATATCGCTAGTCACAATCTCACCATGCTTTTTTGACCTTGACAATCTGCCTAGTCCTTTGAGAGTTGCCTTACTCACTTATTCATTTAAAAAATATTGAGAATCTACTGCAGAAATCGCACCGAGATATCTGAAATGTTGCTTGGCTTCACCCTTTGGTGCCAGTACAAGTTGTGGCTCTATTGAGCCACGGTCAAGGATCCCTCCAGCTTTACGGTAGAATCTGGGCAACTGAGGTCAAGACTGAAAGTAGACAATCTCTAAGTTCTTAAACTGAGAGAAGACTGAGGAGGAGAAGGAGGAGGAGTGAAAAACTAAGGGAGAGTAAGATAAACATATTTTGACAGAAGGTCTACAAAACATAGTTACTTCTATTGTTCGGAAAATCCTGACTCTATTCTGGTCAGTAGAATTATTAAAGAATCTTTTTGTTGTTGTTGTTCCTCTAGAACAAAACAAAAAAATAGAAACCAATGAGAAATACTGCACTATCTACCATTCAAAACTATACGGAGGAATCTTTTGAAGGAGTAAATAGGAAACATGGTATGTAAAACAGGTTTTAGTAGATGAATAATGCATTTTGGTTAGAGCCTACAGAGTCTGAAGTACAGAACAGATATCCAAGAAATATGTTTAACCCAATTTAAGAAGTAGGGTTGACATAGATATCAGGGTTAATGATGTAGATTAAGAGTTACACAAATGAAAGTGATATTGAAAACACAGTCATTAATGGCTGACCTTGGTAAGGAAAGAATTTTTTTTAAAGGATTAAAGCAATGGTTCCTGAACTTAAGGTACATCAGGACCCACCTGGAAGACCTGTTTATAGCTTAATTAGCGATATTCCCAGGGTCTCCAATTCAGTAGGCCCTGAGGTGGAACCTAATAATTTGCATTTCTAACTCATTTCTGAGTTAGCTGATGCCTCTGATCTAGCCTGAACTTCACAAAGAAGCTTGAAGTGCAAATACTGGTACTACTGCCATATAAAGTTTGAGATGGAGAGTGGGGAGGGGCAAGGAAATAAAAAGCAAGGCTAAACTGATGGGAAGGAATCCAATAATGAAAAGCTAAGGAATCTGACTTACCCTTAAAAGATGGGAGATCACAGAAGAAATTCAGAATTGAATTTTACAAAGATTACTGGCAGCAGTCTGAAGGGGAAAGGTACTACAGTGGCAGAGAAACTGTTAGGAAAGCTACTTTAATAGATTAGGCAGAAATAAAAAGGGCTTGAACTAAGGAAGCAGCAAGGGAGTTATTTAGGACAGGCTGAAGAAGTAGAATCAAAGGGACAAGGTAACTAATTATATACGTCTTTCTCACTTTTTTTTTTTTTTAAGATTTTATTTATTTGACAGAGAGAGACACAGCGAGAGCGGGAACACAAGCAGGCAGGCAGAGGGAGAGGGAGAAGCAGGCTTCCTGCCGAGCAGGTAGCCCGATGTGGGACTCGATCCTGGGACCCCGAAATCATGACCTGAGCCGAAGGCAGACGCTTAACGACTGAGCCACCCAGGCGCCCCCTTTATCACTTCTTAACCAACAAATGTTCCTCTAGAAAAACAGAAATCCTTGCCCCCATGGAGCCAACATTATATGGGTGGAATCAAACAAAAAATGAATACAGGCTCTTAAATGTTGATAAGTGCTATGGGGGAAAAAAAAAAAAAGAACACAGGGAGTAATGGAGAAGTTGCAATTTTAATTTTTTTGTCTGTTTCCTCTTCTACGATATAAAACTCCACAAGGAAAGGGATGGTATCAGGTTTATGCCCCACTGTATAACTAGCACTTAGCATAGTACTGAAAAAATCCTAGCTACTTAGTATTTGCTGCTGCATAATAAAACCAGGTTTAACAAGGAAGAAAGATGTTTTTTAAGAGCAGTGTCTCTAAGGTTACTCACTGGCCAGGATCAACCACTCACTACACAGAAGAACACAAATAGCAAGAATTTATCTTTCAATTATGTTGGAAAATGGAAAGAGAAAAGAAAGTTCAAAGGTGTGGCAGGATTGAGAAGAGTTGTTTAAACTAGTGCCTAGTGAACAGTGAGTCACCTAAAATTGAGAGTCACTCCAAGATATAAAATGCAATTGAGGTGTAGTCATCATTTGGTCTCCCAAGGTAATAGGGATCTCTGAATGTCTTCCTTCCATAACAAATGAAGGTTTGACAACTTCCTTTACTACATTTTGTACTGTGTCACTCCCTCCATCCTAAAATTAATGCAAATTAACAAAAATGTTAATAATTAAATTGAATTAAAATAAAATTACAAACATTAAAATAAATTAACATGCCTTTGAACCTAGAGTAGAATTCCTGATGTTTCTAGCAAATTGACATAAGTTATTGAGTAGCCATTATTACTAACTTAAGATATGTAATTGATTTATATTATCTTTACTAGTGCTGCCTTCAAGGAAAACTGCCTATTTTTCAAGGTTTTTCTGTATTCATTAATGACCTCCACTTCGGTATCCATTAATGACCTGTATTCATTAATGACCTAATGCTGTTTTACCTGTAAGATCTGACTATATCTCAATCATGGGTTCTCTCATCAAGATTTTCAGGAATATAACCCTTTGTGCTGTGGTTAGGTACAGAATATTTTCGTAACATGATCAATCACTCCTTCACCCCTTCAGCACTTGTCTCCAAGTGGGTACCCATCTACTATGTGACACTGTTCCTCAACATCCCACTCCTGCTTTTATGTGAGAAAGGGATAATCCTAATTCCCCAACTTCAGGTCTCTTACAACTGTTACCAAGTCTTTTTCGTATTTAGCAAACATTACCTCTCCAGAATCTTCCTAGAATCATTTTCCCTTTTTATATGGCCTATCAATCTGAAAATATTAGTAAAGCATGTTTTGCTTCATAAAACCATGAGGTTGAGTAAAATATATAATTTATTTTTAAATGAGTTATGAATCTAAAATTCTTCTAAGTGTTACTCTCTCAGTGGTAAGAACAAACTATTCAATAAACGCATACCATCCAAGTCAAAACAAACACAGAAAGAACAATTAGTTAAATTGGTCAGATGAGAGGCTGGACTCTGAAGAAAGGCTAGAAGACATGCTAGAAGACTACCACATCAAACTGGAAATGAAGTAATAGTAGTAAGGGTCTATTCTAGTCAGGAGAATGGCATTGAAGCTCTGAATGTGAGGACATTTCAGAAGGATAATATAATGAGATGTGTACCTAAATAAGAGGGATAAAGAACTCTCCCCCAAATGGGAATAAAACTAAAAGAAATGGGAGAATTCAGAAGGACAGTGCTGTGAACTGGATGTTTGTGTTCCCTGCAAAATTCATTTGTTGAAATCCCACCCCTCCAAGGATAGTATTAGGAGGTGGGGCCTTTGAGAGGTGATTAGGTCATATGGGTATGGCCCTCCTGAGTAGTGCTCCAGGGCGCCTGGGTGGCTCAGTTGGTTAAGCGACTGCCTTCAGCTCAGGTCATGATCCTGGAGTCCCTGGATCGAGTCCCACATCAGGCTCCCTGCTCGGCAGGGAGTCTGCTTCTCCCTCTGACCCTCCCAACCCTCCCCCCTCTCATGTGCTCTCTCTCTCTCAGTCTCTCTCTCTCAAATAAATAAAATCTTAAAAAAAAAAAAAAAAAGAGTAGTGCTCCAGAGATCCCTGACCCTTTGCTATGTGAGAAAATATCTGTCAGTGTGGAAATGGGTCCTTAACAGACAGCTAATCTGCTGGTGCCATGATCCAGACTTGCAGCCTCCATAACTGTCAGAAATATATGACTGTTGTTCATAAGCCACCCCACTTACGGTATTTTTGTTATAGCAGCTCAAATGGACTAAGGCAGTTACAGGAAAGCCAAGAACAGGTCTACTCTAAATAAAAGTAACTGATAAACTTGGTGTTAATATTATGTTGGATTTATAGATTTTATAAAATATAAGCAAAGCTGTCCTTTGAGCAAGAGTAAATATAAGTCTAATAAGCAACCATGTATTATTAGTGTACCTAGTGTAGTTATTGATTTTGTTATTTTTCGGTCACCAACAAATCTGTAGTGGTTCTCTTTTACCTTAAGAAAAATATTATTTATTTCTGTTCTTGAGTAGTGGTACGTTGAGTAAGTGATATCTTTTTATCCTAGACTTTCCTAAATGTGTAATGTTCTATTCCTTTATTCTCATTTTAATGATGGTTGATTTTCACTTAAAGATTATGATTGTGCTCCACTGCTCTATGATTATTTGATCCGATTCAACTCTGGGGAAAAAAGGCACAAAATATAAATACACAAGAGTGTGTGTATGTGTGTATGTATGTTTGGAGAGAGTGAGAAAGACTAATTACTGAAATGAAGTTCTCTGCTGCTCTCTAGAGGCTGAATGCGCTTTAAAGATGCTTCACTGAAGGTAGGGGAAACACAGCTTACCTTTTTAACATATCA